CAAAAACAGCCTTTTCTCAGGAAGATCCGTCAGTAAATATTACAAGAGCATCAGAAATTGGTTGATAAACAAAAACTTTAGGAAATATAAATGAATTTTTACTTGCAAAGCATAATAATTTACCTTTTGGATAATGATGAGTAATTTGACGAGGATAATTGGCTAATGCAATTAACCGTTTTGTACCATATTGATATAGCCAATTTAACTTGTAAAGTATTATAAGGGATAATGATTTTATAAGATCTTATATTAAACATTGCAGTGACACCTACCTAAATTCACCAATTGAAACACAGCCTGTGGAAAAATCCATAAAACCTTTTTTGGGGAGTTTGACAAATGTATAGAGCTGCACTTTTTACAAGCTTTTGACATAAGGCGGCGCTGTTGATTATTTTGGGGGGAATACGCAGAAAGGGTATCTTGTAAATTAACAAATGGAGCTAGGACTGTCCAATTATAAGTTAAAAGTTATAAGACCTATATAAGTTCTAGGTCCTGTAGTTCTAAACATGGCTTAATTTAATTAACTTTTTTTAGTGATTTTTGGAAATCATTCAGTGTTCCTTGATTACTAACACGAATTTGAAATTCTTCAGGTTAAGCACAATTTTTCTCCATTCTAGTCCCCAAATACATACTCAAATTCACTTTTTCTTTAAGCCTTTTACAACTCACTACACATCTTTAATTTAGCCTTTACTAACTCATATTTTGGTACAACCAGACATTTTATTTTAAAGCAAAACTACTTTCATTTTTTCTGTTAAACAAAAAATACACAGAACTTATTACCAGTTATTTAACTTATTCTTTTGAACTTTATACCATGTTAAAACTTTAATTTTACTCTTTTTTTTTTATTGTGTGACTTTGTAAATTTTTAATTTTTTTTTTTAAATTTAGGTTGTTTATTTTTCATTTCAATGAACATCTACAGAGTAATTTTACTCTTAAGATGATATTTTGTTCAGCTGTTTGGATATACTAAATTATTTTATGTGTGTTTATTACCTCAAAATTCCCTAATTTGATAACTGCAATTTTAAATACTGCATAATCATGGGATGGTAAAATGTTTATAGTAAACATTATATGAAAACCTTTGTTTAGGAATTGAAGGAACCACAGATATATAAGTTAGGATTTTCCTTGTGTTAGATCCTAGAAAATAAGCTGT